GCTCTGCCCTTCTGCAGCCCTGGGGCGGCGGGTAAGTCCCCCCCCACCCCCGGGGGCCTTGGTCCCGGTCAGGAGAGTTCAGGGGGTTGGTCGGACATGTGGCTCAAACCCTGCCTCAGGGAAGCTTGTTGCTGAGGCCGATGCCCGACCCCACCCCAGAAACGGGATGCAGCGGGACACGGACGGCCCGGAACCCACCTGCCTCTTCCACAGGGACCTGTGCCCCCCGCTGTCACTCGGCCGGTGGTTTCCGGGGTCCGAGTCTCGCTCTCAGCATGGCTGTCTCCTGCGCCCCGGGGAGTCTGAGCGACGGGGAGGTCCAAGAGGGGAGCAGCGGGGACAACCCCCACGCCCACCCCAGGGCTCTGCTCTGGCTCTGGCTCTGGCCTGGGGTGGTGTGTGCGCTCCACCGCGACAACCCCTCCCGCCCCAGCCGGGCAGCTGCCAGCACTGGGGTGCTGGGACACCCACCTGTGGACCCTGGGCTCCTTGCTTTTCCTGCTGAGAAGCCCTCACCTGTTTTCATCCCAACGGAATGGCAGCCCCAGCTGAGAACTGGGGGAGCCGGGCTTGGCACGGGGCGAGGCCCATCCACCTGGGTCCAGGTCTGCGTCCCACAAATCCCTGGGGTCAACAAAGTCCCACAAGTCCCTGCGGTCAACAATCCCACAAGTCCCTGCGGTCAACAAAGTCCCACAAGTCCCTGCGGTCAACAAAGTCCCACAAGTCCCTGCGGTCAACAATCCCACAAGTCCCTGCGGTCAACAAAGTCCCACAAGTCCCTGCGGTCAACAAAGTCCCACAAGTCCCTGCGGTGAACGAAGTCCCACAAGTCCCTGCGGCACCCAAACGGGAAGAACACGGTGTTTGCCCCGAAGCCTCCCCCCCGCGCTCACTCCGTGCCTCCCTGGGTGCCGGCTCACACGCTCACCACACTCACCACACACGCGTGCACGCTCGCGGCTGCTCACACACTCGCCAGCACAACGCTTTGCTCACATGCGCGCTCCTACACCCACACTCACACCTTCGTGTGCTCACACGCATTTACCGCCATGCACACCCGGGGTGCGTTCCCACCACCACCCACTCCCAGCCGGCCGGTTTGTGCCCGCGCGGCCCACGCCGCCAGGAGCCAGGCCGGGGAAGCTGCGAGACAGACTCCGCGTGTGGGCGGCGGGGCGGGCGCCACCGGACCCCACCGCCCAGGACCGACCCTCGGGAGGAGCTGGGAGGGCCCTCCGCTGCCAGCTGCCGGGAGGGGGAAGCGTGCCCCCCCCTCTTGCCCAGACGCGGGTGGCTGTGGGGAGCAGACCTGGGCCAGTCCTGATACCCCCGTTTCTCTTGAGTTTTTAACAACTGCCACTGGTGGCGGCGCCCAGTAGGCGGGCGCCTCGCCGGGCCCTGCTGCTCCGCCCCCCTCCCAGGCGGTGCTGTTCGAGCCCCGCTTCACCGAGAGGCAGGGGAGACGCAAGCCCCAGTGGCTCGGTCCCCTGCCTACCTGGGAGGGCAGTGCCAGGATTTGCAGCCAGACTCCAGGCCGGGACAGGCCCTCGGGACCAGCAGCAGCTCTGCCGGGAAGCGAGCAGGCGCAGGAGCAAGGACACGCCGCGGGGGAGACGCATCATTTCATTCTCAAGGAGACAGCACGTCTTGGATCTTGTCCATGCTGCCGCAAGTCATATAAAATGATAGGATCGCTCTAAAGGGCAGTTTGATCATATATATCAAAGCCTTTAAAATGTGCTTGCGTGGGCATATCCTGAGCTGTTAATTCCACTTGGAGGAAACGTATCCTAAGGAAATATTTGGACAGGTGAGCAAAGGTGCAGGCACAGGGATGTTCTGCGGCACTGTTTAAAATGGCGGGAACCGACAACAGTGCAAGTAGCCAAAAATAGAGAGCAGTCCAAATAAATGCTAATATATCCCTACAATGGGAATGTCATTGACATATTTCAGTTCTGAGTTTAAGACAGGCTGTGATAACCTGTTTACAGTTTTATGCCATTTCCATTCAAAGTCTCCATCAGTAAAGAAAAATCTGGCCCAGCCAGTGTGGCTCAGTGGTTGAGCCTATGAACCAGGAGGTCACAGTTCGGTTCTGATCAGGGCACATGCCCAGGTTGTGGGCTCGATCCCCAGTGGGGGGCATGCAGGAGGCAGCCAATCACTGATTCTCTCTCATCATTGGTGTTTCTATCTCTCCTTCTCCCTTCCTCTCTGAAATCAATAAAAGTATAATCTGGAAGAGAATGCATAAAATGTGAACTAACAGATTATCCATGGAGACTAATGCCCCACATGATTTTCCTTTCTTTTTTTCCCTTTTTGTTTCTGATTTTTTTCTAAAGTTAACATTCTATGAGGTAAATATTTTGAAAATATATTATTATTGTTATTATTACTGTTATTATACTGGTTTGACTACACATAAAACATGCCCGAAAGACTACACAAGGACTGCTGCCATTGGTGCCTCAAAAGGGCCAGGGCACTGGAAGGAGATTTCTCACTGTGGATTCTTTCTTTTTTTTCTTTTTTTTTTTTAATATATTTTATTGATTTTTTTACAGAGAGGAAGGGAGAGGAATAGAGAGTTAGAAACATCGATGAGAGAGAAACATCAATCAGCTGCCTCCTGCACACCCCTCACTGGGGACGTGCCCACAACCAAGGTACATGCCCTTGACTGGAATCGAACCCGGGACCTTTCAGTCTGCAGGCTGACGCTCTATCCACTGAGCCAAACCGGTTAGGCTAATATATATCTTTATTGATTTCAGAGAGGAAGGGAGAGAGATAGAAACATCAATGATGAGAGGGAATCATTGATTGGCTGCCTCCTGCACGCCCCCTACTAGGGATCAAGCCCGAAACCCAGGCATGTGCCCTTAACTAGAATCAAACCCGGGACCTTTCAGTCTGCAGGCCGACACTCTATCCACTGAGCCAAACCAGCTAGGGCCACTGTGGATTCTTTTATATCCTTCGGCTTTGGAATCACGTAAGTTTATCTTTTCACAAATATAAACTAAATTTAAATTTGGTAACCAAAAAAAGATTCATGGAGCATCTTTGACATTTACAAACTCCACTTTTGTGCAGCCGTAAGTGTGGAAGGAAACTATTTACATCGGAGTTACAAACTCAAATACTAGAGGGTCCAGGGAAATAAATGGAACAGAGCTGGCATGAGCGATAGGGAGTGGTGGAGACTGTGGCAAACTAGAAAGCAGAGGCCCTGTCTCTGTGGCCACACGTTTCTGCTCCAGCTGATTAGGCCATGCATAGAGACTGTCCCACGGCTGCCAGCCCTTGCAATTTATCAATAAAAGTCAAACATCCAGAGTTTTACGTGCATTTTCTCATTTTAAAACATGTGCTACCAAAAAAATTCTCTGTATGCCAGGCACAGGCAGCCAGTTTGCAATCCCTACTGCATCACTGTGGAATATTCTCAGAGAGCCCCAGGGAACAGTGAGGGACAACTTGCCCAGAGTCAAAGGCTGGTTGTGCAGAGTACAGGCAGAAAGCGGCACCCCAACTTCAGTTCTAACGGAGGTTAGTGAGCTTGGGAGGTGTTCAGGGCTGTCAAGCCCTCTCGGGGGCATCAGCATGTCAACAGAGCCAGGAGCCCGAGCTGCTCCCCAAGGCCTTTCTAAGAGTAGAATTAGAGGCCGTTTGCAGCCGTCCTGAAAGAGACAGCCGCCATGTAAGGCTGGGCTGGTCAGAGGCCAAAGTCAAGGTGGAGAAGCAGACTGCCAGTACCCTCCCTTCCTCCAGCCTCCCCACTCCCTGCCTCCGGCCTCCCCACTCCCTGCCTCCAGCCTCCCCACTCCCTGCCTCCGGCCTCCAGGCACTCTGCCGTCTACACCCTGTGCAGCCTTCAGCCCAGGTCACATTTGTCTCTCCCTGCAGTGACCACACGGAGCAGAGGTGGGACCACCCAGAGCCGGCTCGTTCTTCTGAGCCCCAGCCCTTCCCAACCCACCAGACTCCCTCTTCGTGTCATTCCCAACCTGTGAGCCCAGCTCCTTCACCATGAAATGAGGCCGGGACATCTTTCTTACAGTGGTTGTGACTCATGTGGGATGAAGGATAAGGAAATGGAAAATGAAAAACTATTTCTCATCCATCAGATTAGCATAGGTTTCAAAATGAGAATACTCAGTGCTGTGACCATAGGATGACAGGGGACCTGTTCATATCCTGCTTCTGAGACTATGTCAGTGCAATAGTTACTAGTGGTTATTTGAAAGTCTAATTCAAAGTGTGTATCAAAGTCTGTAGGCAAATCTATAGAGACAGGGCTTCGATGAGAGGTTGCCCAGGGCTGGGGTGTTGAGGGGAAGTGGGGAGTGACTACTTTGGGAGGTGACAAAACTGTTCTAAAATTAGATTGCGGAGATGGTTGCACAGCTCGAATACCCTAAAAACCATTGAGTTGTCCTCTTAAATGGGTGAATAATATGGCATATTCTAATCTAATGCACAGATGTATGTACAAACTTGCCTGTCTCCGCAACATTTACGACAGAAACAAAGCTTTCAACAGTACATCCCACCCCTGGAGCACCTGGAACCCATCTCAGGATCAAAAGACACCCCACCCCACCCCACCCCCGCCCAGACTGCAAAACACCAAGAAAACAGGATAGAAAGCTGACTGGGGAGATAAGTCCGATCACATTTGCACCTGGATCAGACCTTCCCTGAAGCCGCCCCTGGGTTGAGTAATTACAAGAGCCTAAAATTCCTGTTCTTCTGAAGGAAGTTTAGGGTGGGTTTTCTGTTACTTATAACCAAGAGAACTGTAGATGCACGTGGCAGAGCTGTCCAGATAGACACCCAAGATGACTGGTCCCCCACAGCTCACAGCAAAAGCCAAGGACAAAGAAGGAATCCTCTTGCCAAGAAGGACCGCTCCAGGCCCCACTGGCTGTTGGTCTGCCTGCCCCAAGACCTCTGCCCCACACACCCCATCAACACGCAGATGCCACAGACAGCACTGGTGGGTTTTTATTTTAATGTCAAAGGCACAGCCTCCCAGATGAGCTGAGGCAGTGACTGGGGATGCCCAAACCCCAAACCACCCCACCCCACCCCTGCCAGGGGCAGCTGTGCCAAAGTGGGGGGGGGGGGTGGTAAGACGGGGGCCTCCCCTTCAGGGGGTCGCCTACCTCCTTCCTTAGCCCCAATAGGAGAGAAGCAGGTGACACAAAGTGAGGCAATAATGCTTCAGGGGGTCCCCCAGGCCTCTCCCTGGACCCCCAACACAGGTCTTTGGTGGACGTAATTGCACAGACAATTCATAAAGTGACAGCTTGAGGGCCTCGGGAAGGACAGGGAGAGGCCCAGCTTCTCCCAGGGGCGCCTCAGTGCTTAGAAATGGGAGCAGCCTTCCCTGCCCCCGGCGTCTCCGCAGGCCCCACGCCGCTCCCCTGCAGCCCCCCTCCTGCATCTCCATCTGGTAAGACATAAAAAATTCTCTGCTTATAAAAATACTTCTGCTCTGTCTGGGAGTGGGGGCGGGGAGTGGAGCCGGGGAGCCGGGGCCAGGTCCGGCCCCTGCGGGAGGGGTCACAGTGGCGGGGCTAGGAGGAGGGCAGGGGGCCGTTGGCTCGGCGCGGGGCTCCCTTGGCCGCGGGGGCCCGGCCCGGGGCGGCGGGCACCGGGGAGGCCCGGCGGGAGGCGGCGGCGCTCCGCAGCTTCAGTTTCCGCCGCTTGGCCAGCGGCGCGTTCTCCACGCTCTTCAGGAAGAAGCCCTCGCGCTTGCCCCGGTTGAAGGCCTGCCAGACACGGGGCGTGAGTCCCGCCAACGCCCGCCACCGGGCCTCACCCTTCCCCCTTCCCGGAACCCCCCTCCGAGCCACCAGGTCAAGGCCATGGGCCTCCGACCTCCAGCACCTCGAAGGTCAGGCCCCAAACGGCCAGAGACCAGGACTCAGTTCACGCACCGCACCTTCCAGGGCGTGGAGATCCAAGCCTCCCACAGGCCCCGCCTCTCCAGGTCCGCCCACCCCCCACCCACCCGTGGCCCCGCCTCTCCAGGTCCGTCCACACCCCACCCACCCGCGGGCCCCCCTCTCCAGGCCCGTCCACCCCACACCCACCCGCGGGCCCCCCTCTCCAGGTCCGCCCTCCCCCCACCCACCCGTGGCCCCGCCTCTCCAGGTCCGTCCACCCCACACCCACCCGCGGGCCCCCCTCTCCAGGCCCGTCCACCCCCCACCCACCCGTGGCCCCGCCTCTCCAGGTCCGTCCACCCCACACCCACCCGCGGGCCCCCCTCTCCAGGCCCGTCCACCCCACACCCACCCGTGGCCCCGCCTCTCCAGGTCCGTCCACCCCACACCCACCCGCGGGCCCCCCTCTCCAGGTCCGTCCACCCCACACCCACCCGCGGGCCCCCCTCTCCAGGTCCGTCCACACCCACCCACCCGCGGGCCCCCCTCTCCAGGTCCGTCCACCCCACACCCACCCGCGGGCCCCCCTCTCCAGGTCCGTCCACACCACACCCACCCGCGGGCCCGCCTCCCCAGGTCCGTCCACACCCACCCGCGGGCCCCCCTCTCCAGGCCCGTCCACCCCACACCCACCCGCGGGCCCCCCTCTCCAGGCCCGTCCACCCCACACCCACCCGCGGGCCCCCCTCTCCAGGTCCGCCCTCCCCCCACCCACCCGTGGCCCCGCCTCTCCAGGTCCGTCCACCCCACACCCACCCGCGGCCCCGCCTCCCCAGGTCCGTCCACCCCCCACCCACCCGCGGGCCCCGCCTCCCCAGGTCCGTCCACCCCCCACCCACCCGCGGGCCCGCCTCCCCAGGTCCGCCCACCCCCCACCCACCCGCGGGTCCCCCTCCCCAGGTCCGTCCACCCCCCACCCACCCGCGGGTCCCCCTCCCCAGGTCCGCCCACCCCCCACCCACCCGCGGGCCCCCCTCTCCAGGTCCGTCCACCCCCCACCCACCCGCGGGCCCCGCCTCCCCAGGTCCGTCCACCCCCCACCCACCCGCGGCCCCGCCTCCCCAGGTCCGCCCACCCCCCACCCACCCGCGGGCCCGCCTCCCCAGGTCCGTCCACACCCACCCGCGGGCCCCGCCTCCCCAGGTCCGTCCACCCCACACCCACCCGCGGGCCCCGCCTCCCCAGGTCCGTCCACACCCACCCGCGGCCCCGCCTCCCCAGGTCCGTCCACACCCACCCGCGGGCCGCTCTTACCAAGAAGGTGGCGTTGAGACCGGAGCGCACGGCCGGCCCCGAGGACTCCAGCACGTCCGGCGTCCGGAGCGGGGGCGAGGAGCGCGCGCTGCCGTCCTGCAGCCACGAGCTGCCCCGCAGCCCCTCGAGCTTCAGCCTCTTGGCCGGGTCCACAGTCAGGAGCCCTGGACGCGGGGTGGGAGCACTGGGTGGCGTGTGATCCTAACAGCCGCACTCTCCTCCCGACCCGTCCCCTGACCAGGACCCGGGACCAGGGATGATCCCCAACCCAACATGACCCCGTGGCCGCCCCTCCCCCCCCCAGAGACAGCCTGTGCCGGCTCCGCACCTCGGACAAGCTCCTTGGCTTCCTCGGACACGCTCTGCCAGGCCTCCCCATCGAGGGAGAAGCGCCCCTCGCGGATCTTGCACATGATCTCGGCCGCCTGGCTCTGCCCGCCCTGGCCCGAGGCCCCCTGGAAGGGGACCTGCCCGGACAGCATCATGTACTGGGGGACGGAGGGGGGCGGGGAGTGAGACCGGCCCAGGCTGCGGGCCCAGGGGGGCCAGGAGGCTGACCTCTCGGCCCACCCCTGGACCACCCACGCTCTGCTGGAGGGTCACCCCTAGGCCCACTGGCGATGACCCTGATCTCCAACCCGGAATACTCAGATGCCCCAGCCAGCACCGGTGCGACCCTGCCTCCGTGTTAGGACGACCTCTGACCCCAGCCTCATATCAAAGCTTGCCACCCCCACCAAGATGACCCTGCCCCTGGCGCCCCTGTTGCCCTTCATCAGGAAGACCTCTGACCTCAGACTGGGCGCCCCTGGACCCTCTCCGGGCCGTCCCGTACCAGAATGACGCCGAGGCTCCAGAGGTCGCAGGACTCGTCGTAGCCCTGCTGCGCCAGCAGCTCGGGCGCCGCGTACTGCAGCGTGAAGCAGGGCGTCTGCATGGGCCCCGCGGGGCTCTGCGGGCGCAGCCGCGCGAACCCGAAGTCGATAATCTTCACCGGGGCCCCGGGAGTGTCATCGGCGTACAGGATGTTCTGTGACGGGGCGGAGGGCGTCAGGGACCGGGCCTCCGGGCCTCCGCACCCCCCCACCCCCCCCCCCCCCCCCCACCCCGCCGCCCCGCTGCCGAGGTTCCGCGCCCACCTCGGGCTTGAGGTCGCGGTGCACCACGCCCGCCTCCTCGTGCATGAAGCTCACGGCGGACACCAGGCTCCGCAGGATCTGGCTCGCCTCGGACTCGCTGAAGTGCCGCTTCTTGCGGATGTGCTCCAGCAGCTCCCCGCCCCGCAGCAGCTCCAGGACCAGGTACGTGTGCAGCTGCGCAGCAGGCGGGCCACGGTCACCGGTGACCGACCTGGCAGCCCCGCGGCCAGGCCCCGCCCCCAGCTCAGACCTCGAACTTGTCCGAGCCGGTGAGAACCACCCCGCCTGCCTTCCAGGCCCCGCCCCTTTGGCCCCTTAACCCTGCCCCCCTCCACACCCTCCTCAGATTTCATTCCCCCCCCCCCCCCACCATCCTTAGCTCGGCTTCCGGTCCTCCAGGCCTACTCCCCTCAAACCCTCCCAGGTCCCCCGGCCCCGCCCCCGGCTCCTCCCCCCGCCCCCCTCCTCCCGCGGCTCCCTGCATCCCAGCCTGCAGGCACCACCTGGTCCTGATGCACCTCGTGCAGCTTCACCACGTTGGGGTGCGACTGGCACAGCCGCAGGGCGGCCACTTCGCGCTGCGTGTTCGCCTCCAGCCTGGGGGCGGGCGGGTAGGTCAGGAGGGACGGCCTGGGGCCCCGCCCGCCCGGACCCAGGTTCCCTGCCGCCCGGCCCGCCCCAGGCCCGCCCGCCCCAGGCCGGCCCACCTGCGGCTGAGGATCTTGACTGCGAACTCCTGGCCGCCCTGGCGCTGGCGGCAGCGGCGACACACGGAGAAGCTGCCCTGGCCCAGCGCAGGCTCCCGCAGGTCCAGCTCGTACTGCTGGAAGAAGGGCGAGTCCTGGGGGCACAGGGGCGCGTCAGCGGTCCTACCTGGGAGCCTGGAGGCCACGCCGCACCCCATCTCGCAGAGGTCCCGGATTTCACCGCCGTCACACCGCGGCCCAGCCTCCCTACCTGCATCATGGCGCTCCGGGCCACCGCTGCCCTCCCCGGCCGGTCTCCAGTGCCAGGTGCTTCGAGCACATCAGTCATCACAGCGTTATTGTGGTCAAACAGGATGGACGGTGCCACGAAGGAGTATCCCTGGTTGGGGAGGGAGGTGGGTCAGGGGCGATGGGAATGGGGGGCTGGAGGTGCAGGGGGCGGGTTCCCTGGAAGGGCCACACCTGGCCGGGAGGAGGGCAGGCAGAGGAAGACCCCAGACCAGGGGTGGGGGGTGGGGGGTGTTGCTTTTTCGTCCTAACACAACAGGATGCGTGGACATTTTATTCCAACTTGTTCTATGATCACTTGGGGTCATGTCTGTCCCCCACCAGTCTGTGACTCCACCTTTCTCATTACAGTAACAGAACCCTCTGCGCCTCCCCCCCCCCGCCCCCCCATTACACTTAAATCTCAGAGGATGTGGGCCCAGAATTGCTGGGACAACCTGAGGGTCTAAGGATGAAGTGCCCGTGCAGAAAAGGTGAACCAAGAGGCAGAGATTCCTAATGACATAGGCTCAGCACCTGGATGCAGCCTTGAAGGGCATCGCCTGGCGCAATGTAGTGGCCCAGAGAAGGACGGGCAGTGCGTGAAAGGACTGTGACCTGGCATCACACCCGTTTCACTTATGAACATTCAACTGTGCCCACGGGACAAAAAGTCTTTATTCCTTCCTCTCAAATCAAACTGTGGCCTCCTCTGCGAGGAGGGAGCTCTGAGGCAATGTAAAGCGAAACCAGTTACCACTTTGCCTTTCCTAACGACCACGTCCTGCCCATTCAAGGGCGTCTCAGGGTAATCTGTGTTTCTGCTAAACATGCAGCCCCCTGTGCACTAGCAGGCTAGCTCCACCTGGGTGGGGTCACTTCCTGTTAGGTTCATCCCAGGGCCCGGATCGGTGCCTGGCACACTGTAGGCATTCAACACATACCAGTATTTCTGAGTCCTGGAATGAAGGAAGGAAGGAATGAGAGTGACCATCCATTCGCAAGAAAGAACTTTCTCAGAACCGTGAGACAATGGATCGAGAGACGCTCAAGCACAGAGCTGTCACTCGTGGAGCTTCACAGAGGAGATTCTCGTAGTTGACACTGGCCTATTCTTATTTAATAGACGCAGACCAGGCCCTGCAGGCCAGGCCCCCACACTGGGCACAGGGACACGAAATTAAACAACAGCTCCCGCCTCCAGGAGCTTCGCACCAGGGGAGGCAGTCTTGGTTGGGCTGCCAGGACACAACCTGACGAATGGCTCAGAAGGTGCTGTCTGCAGGGGACAGGTGCACAGGCAAGTGCAGCCCGGGCCACGGGAGTGGGGAAGCCTTCACCTGGGGCAGCGCTGGGCAGCGCTGGCCAACGTGGCTAGAAAGGTCCGCGGGAGCTTGCCAGGTGAGCGGCAGTGGGGAGGGCACCCCAGGGGGAGGGCACTGCATGGGCTATGGCACAGGGGTGCGTGATGGAACCTCTGACAGTCCATTACGGCTACAGCACCAGGTGGGACGATAGCGAGCGCTGAGGCTCGGGTCAGAGCAGGACCACACGGTTCAGGGCCTTGAATCCTGAGCAGAGAAGGTTAGCCTTGTCCAACAGGCCTAACCTTCTAAAATTGGGTGGAGGGGTCTGTGCCCCCAGGAATGTGATACGGTATGCCAATGGGCATCAAAGCCACAGGATAAATATGGCCTCTCTTCCTAGGTGTCTACTTAAGCAAGTGGATAATTTAAAACGATATTTTTATGTACCAATAAAGAGTTATGGCCGAAACCGGTTTGGCTCAGTGGACAGAGCGTCAGCCTGCGGACTGAAAGGTCCCAGGTTCGGTTCCGGTCAAGGGCATGTACCTGGGTTGCGGGCACATCCCCAGTGGGAGATGTGCAGGAGGCGGCTGATCGATGTTTCTCTCCCATCGATGTTTCTAACTCTCTATCTCTCTCCCTTCCTCTCTGTAAAAAATCAATAAAATATACTTTTTAAAAAAAAAAAGAGTTATGATGGAGTAAAAGGAAAATTAATGTGAAATCTAAAGATAAACCATGAAGTTCAAAGACGTGTCCTGCCATGGTGGTCTCCATAACTGGCAACTCCAGGTCCCCACAAGTAGAGAGGTCTGAGGGGAGATGCCGAGTCCTGACCAGGCACGCAGTATATGTAGTGCCCACGGGTCAGCCAGGGCCGAGGCTGGCTCTCACTCACCTGGAAGATGCGCGAGTCCCCAGATGGGGGGCTGCCAGCCGGGGAGTAGACGGGCTCCAGCCGAGTAAACTCTTCTGCGAAGTTGCTCACATCCAGCTCTGAGCGGATCTGGGGTCGGAATGGAGCTGGAATCTTTCTGGCAGCCAGAGCAGCCCAATCCAGACCCTGGAAAGAAGAAATGAGAGACTGAGGATCACAGGGCAGGAGGGGGAAACCCCTCTCCGCTCAGGCCACCCTCTCCGCTCAGCTCCTCAGTGAAATAACGGGCTACCCCGCATTTGGGGGGAAGGTGTTCTTCTTTCCTCCCCAGCCTCTATTTCCCTCCCTTTGACGCCCAATTCCTATTCCCTTGGAGAATCACCCTCCACCACACTCAGTCAGTTCTGGGACTTTCAATAGAAGTGGCTTGCAAAACAACTCTCTTCCCCCCATTACACTTCAACCTTCGAGGATACGGGCCTGGAATTGCTGGTAACAACCTTGGGGTCTGATGATGAAGTCCCTGCGCAGAAAAGCAGGACCAAGAGACAGAGAGATTCCTGATGATGTAGGCTCAGCACCTGGATGCAGCCTGACCTGAAGTCAGCCCACTTTTGCTTCAACTTTTCCCTTGTGGGAGCTAAAACATGCCCTTTTATACGTAAGCTAGTGTGGCAGAGCCTGTCCATCGCCTGCCCAACATTCATGTTCCCTGTCTTCCTTGGTTCCATAGCCCCGATTCAAGCCCAGGAAGCAATGTGCAAACTAAGACAATATTTTACACACTTCCTTATAGTTAGGAGTGACCGATAACTTGCAAGCAAATATTGTGAGCTAGGAATCAAGGAAAAGATCCTCAAGAGGAGGGTGGACAGTTGGCAAATGCCCTTTTGGCCCTTCCCCTCCTCCTCCCTGCTTCCTGCCTGGCTATCAGCCTGGATGGCAAGTGCTCAGCAGTCATATTGGACCATGAGGCAAACCTGGGGATGGAGGCTACATGCTAAAAATGGAGGGGCCTTAAAAAAAAAAAACTTGGACCCATGAAGACACCATAGCAGCTCCGGCCTGCCAACCTCTAGGTTTCTTTTATGTAAGAAAATAAATAAGTAAATAACCCTCTATCTTGTTTAGACGACTGGGCATTCTAATACCTGTTAGCACTAAACTCTACTCCATGGATATCACCATTTCTGAGTTGGACTTTTTGTCACATGAAGCCAAGAAGCCTGACCTAGACTTGAAGGCCCCAGTTCTGCCACCAGAGACCTCAGCGTTGCCAGCACCGAAGAGGCTGCCTTGAGAGAAGGGGGAGTGAAGGGAACACCCCTTCTGAGCATCAAGCCTCAAAGACCTTGGGGTCTCTCTGGAATGGCTACTGGTCAACCCACTCCCAGCACTCAGGGCCCAGCATGCACTCAGGAGGGTTGAGGAATTCACTTAAGGAAACAGACACTGGCTCAGCCGCTTCCCCTACAAAGCGACGCCTTCACTGCAGACTTAGGTTCCCGTCTGAGAAAGCATCTTCCAGGGCCCTTCTAGGCAGGTACTTGAGGGAAGACGTAAGGAGATGACACTCGTAAAAGGGTGACTGAGAGCCTGCCCCACCACAAATGCCCGCAAATGGGTGCTTGCGTTACGTCAGACAAGTGGCAAATCTGGTGCCCACGTGTAAACAAAAGACAAGGGCCTCCAAGTCACCCAGACGAAGGTTTGAATCTGTGCTCCATCACTTCCGGGCTGGGCGATCTTGGGAAGTTACTTAACCTCTCTGAACCTGTTTCCTCGTCTATAAAGGGGGGAATAGTGTCTCAGTGGTTGAGCATCAATCCATGAACCAGGAGGTCACAGTTCAATTCCAAGTCAGGGCACATGCCCAGGTTGCAGGCTCCGTCCCAAGTAGGGGGCGTGCAGGAGGCAGCCAATCGATAATTCTCTCTCATCATTGATGTTTCTATCTCTCTCTCCCTCTCCCTACCTCTCCCTCTCTGAAATCAATAAAAACATATTAAAAAGATGGGAATAAAGAGGATGGTTCTGAGGGTTACGTGAAATAATGCAAGCAAAGGGCTGATGTAGGGAAGCATGAGACTTGGTTGGGAAGTTTGTAAGGAGGAAATTCTGAAAAGGGGAGTTGGCTGAAGGCCGCCCCTAATTGTTCCTTGACCTTTCCTAACAAGTCTGTGCACATGCGGACCCTCTGGTGTTCATCGGAATCTTTACGCTTAATCTTTAGGTGTCCTTGCTTAAAGGACACTCCAGATACATGATTACTTCCCCTACTGATTGTATCTAAACGATAAACTTTATCCCGTGCCCTAACGGGTTCGGCTCAGTGGATAGAGCGTCGGCCTGCGGACTGAAGGGTCCCAGGTTCAATTCCGGTCAAGGGCATGTACCTTGGTTGCAGGCACATCCCAGTGGGGAGTGTGCAGGAGGCAGCTGAATCAATGTTTCTCTCTCATCGATGTTTCTAACTCTCTATCCTTCTCCCTTCCTCTCTGTAAAAAATCAATAAAATATATTAAAAAAAAAAAAACTTTACCCCAAACCGCTGTCACAATAAAAACCTGAAGAGGCAGGCGAACAAGGCTGTTTGGTTCCTATAGCCAGGCAGTCCCTTAGCCCTCTCTTTCACAACAAACCTGTGTCAGAGTAATCATTCATCATCCGTCGCTCAGGGTTGCTGGTCAGCCCCGGCAGGCTGACACACAGTAGGTGTTCACTGTTACAGGATCCTGCTAGGCACTGACACTGGCCATGCAGAGCACACACCAGAGAGGTCTCACACGGAGACAAATTCACTCTGCTCTGCATTCTAACCTGCATATGCTCCTAGCAAGTAAATAAAACCCACATGACTAACTGACCGGCCATCTAAGTGCAGGCACACGGACTGTACAGGGACAAAGAACAAAATGCCTGGGTGGGTGCCAAGAGCCATAGTGTGGCTTTTAGTGCTGATTTAGGCTGACAGGAGACGTGGGGTCGTGTCCGGTTCCACACGTTCACTGTACGATCCTGGGTGGGTCACCTCCCTTCTCTGAACCTGTCCAATGAAAGGACTAACGAATCCATTCCCAAGTCCCTGGCAGTCCTGACAGTCGATGAACCTAGAATTCTTTCCCCCAGGAACACACATCTCCCAAGTTTCACTAGAGATGGGTGGGAAGATAAGCCTGCTTCCCTAATCTGGAGATTTTTTCTTTTTAAAAAATATTAGCCAAACCGGTTTGGCTCAGTGGATAGAGCGTCTGCCTGCAGACTGAAAGGTCCCAGGTTCGATTCCGGTCAGGGGCATGTGCCTCGGTTCCGGGCACATCCCCAGTGAGAGGTGTGCAGGAGGCGGCTGGTCGATGTTTCTCTCTCATCGATGTTTCTAACTCTCTATCCCTTTCCCTTCCTCTCTGTAAAAAATCAATAAAATATTAAAAAATATATATATTAATATATTTTTGTTGATTTCAGAGAGGAAAGGAGAGGATGAGAAACATCAATGATGAGAATCATTGATTGGCTGCCTCCTGCACGCCTCCTACTGGGGATTGAATGTGCAACACAGGCATGTACCCTGACAGGGAATTGAACCATGATCTCCTGGTTCATAGGTTCACGCTCAACCACTGAGCCACACCAGCCAGGCAGGATTCTTCTAAATCAAGTGAAATTGGCCAATCTCAGACATCCCTCCAGTATCCCCGAGCCCAGAGCAGCAGCCCCGCTGGGTATGTGCAGAGACGTGGGGGCGGCTCAGAAGCCTCACCTGGAAGAAACGGTGGCTCTTGACCTCCTGTGCCCCCTGGGGCCCCGCACCCAGCCGCTTCCGGGGGTCCTTGCAAAGCAGCCGCTGCAGCAGGTCCTGCGCCACTGGCCCGATCCGAGAGGGGAAGGGAGGGGAGCACTTCAGGATCCGTCTGGGAGGATTTGGGGGGCGTCAGGGGCAGCGAGCCCCGCCCACAGCCCTGCCCAGCCACCTCAGCTGCCCCCTCCTCCCGCATCCAGTCCCACTCACTGCCTCCAGCCCCACTCACCGGGACACCTCTGCCTGCGTGTTCCTCTCGCCCTCCAGCGTGAAGGGCGAGGCCCCCGTCAGCAGCTCAAAGATCAGGATGCCCAGGCTCCACCAGTCCACAGCCTGCCGGGGCCCAGCCAAGGTGAGGGCCCGCGGCCGCCCCAGCCTCACCCCACCCACCCCCCACTGCCCTGCCAACCCACCTTGCCATGCCCCGACTTGCTGCGGATGATTTCGGGGGCCATGTACTCGATGGTGCCACAGAAGGAGAAGGTCCGCTCTTTCTGGGAGGGCAAGAGGACCCATTTTGGACACCCAGCAACTCCCAAGGCTCAGAGTAGGACTCACGAGACATATGCGGGTTGGAGCCGTGGGAACTTCCGGAGCGCAGGGCGTGGGGCTGTCTCCCTCTGCACCCCGAGAAACGCAGAGCCAGGCCCGGAGCCGGAGCAGGGAGGAGGTGGCTTGCCTGGGGTGCAGGATGCGAGGTGGCCTTCACTCACCTCCTCCGTCAGGAACTCCTTGCTCAGCCCGAAGTCTGTGAGCACGATGTGGCCCTCGGAGTCCAGCAGCACGTTCTCCAGCTTCAGGTCTCGGTAGATGATGCCCAGCTGGCAGGACAAGAGGGGCCCTGAGCCTCCTCCCCCACCCCCCACCCCACCCCACCCCCACACACTCACAGGTCGCTGCTCAGGAGACGGGGATCTCCAGGGCAGGAATGGGCCGGGGGGGATTGAGTCACTGGACCAAACAGGCCATTTAAGAGGCAAAAACAAGGAAGGAGGACTCCATGGGGGACTCCCGGGGAGCAGACCCCAAGGTCCCAGACACAGGAAAGCCTGTGTGAAGAGCCCCATTTCAGAACAGCTGCAGAAGCCCAGGTCTCGGATTGAGGAAGTTCTGTGAACACGGCCCCAGAAGGCAACCCCGGGTTCCCTGTGAGAGGAAAGCCCCTTGGAGGCGCCAGGGAAGACCCCACCAGGCGGGCTGCGGCCTTCCCTCCAGGAGGCCCCCCTACCCGCCCCCAGGAGGCTCAGGGAGAGTGAGCCCTGCGGCGTCCTGTTTGGAGGCCCTTTGGGAGGCCCAGACCATTGCCCATGGCAACAGGCCGCGGCAGGTCCTCACCCACCTTGTGCAGGTGTTCGAGCGCCAGCACGATCTCGCCGGCATACACGCGCACCTCAGCCTCCTTGAAGTGCTGGCGCTGGTAGAGGTGGGTGAACATCTCGCCCCCGTTCACATAGTCTGGGGGGTAGAGTGGAGGTTGGGAAGCAGTCCCCGCGAGTGGCCCCAACCGCTTCCTGGCCCCCAAGGTTGGCAGGTGCCCGCCCTTACCCAGGATGAGGTGTAGCTTGGCATCGGTCTGGAAGGCGTAGTGCAGCGTGACCAGGAAAGGTGCCTGGCGCACCAGCTCCAGCACGGAGCGCTCCGTCCGCGTGTGCTCCCGCGTCTTGGCGCGCTGCACCAGCGCGGCCTTGCGCAGCACCTTCATGGCATACAGCTTCCCTGAGTCGTGCCCGCCCGCCTTCCGCACCAGGAACACCTTCCCGTAGGCTGTGGGAGCAGGGAGTGGGCAGGAGGTAGGCCGTGAGCAGAAGGGTGGTACAGACTGGTGGATGTGGGAACGATGCCAACCCAGAAGGGTGTGCAAATTGGAGGAAAGAGCTGGGTGAGAGGAAGGGAAAGGTGCACAGCACCAGGAGGGTGCTCAGCAAAGGCGGGGAGGGGGTGTGCAAACCAGCTGGGGGGCCTGCAGCTCCAGGAGGCCTGCAGAGCAAGTGGGGGCGGGGCATGTGCAAACCTGTGGAAGATCAGACTGATTTGAGAGGATGCAAATCCGAGGAGGGAGGCAGAGGTGCAGGCGGACAGGGAAGGGATGTGCAAACCTGAGCTGGGAGTTTGCAAAGCGGGGAGAGGGCTCTCGCACACAGCCAGGAGAGGAGCGCTGGTAACCGCTCCGAGGGCTGCAAGCACCCAAGGGTGTTGACAAACTCGGGAGGCCCTTGAGGGGAGGAGAGGCCCTGAGAGTGGGATGCAAACCCGGGCACGGCAGGGCGGGGCCGGCAGGGCGGGGCCAGGAAAGGGTGGGGGGCATAGCCGGTTGCCTGGCCCAGGCCCAGGCGGGTGTGCCCGTGGGGACGCCCAGGGCACCGTCCCTGGGACATCTGCCGGCGGGTGGGGGTCCTCACCTCCCGTGCCCAGCACCTTCAGCAGCTCGAAGTTCTCCACGCTCACCTTCTCCTCGTGCCCGGTCAGGTTGGCTGTGGGCACAGGGGACGCATGAGCCCAGCCGGTGCATGACCCCTCCCTGGGCCCCGGCACCATCACCCCTCCCCGTTGTCCCCGGCCGCCCGGCCCCACCTTCCGTGATCCGCAGCTCCACGGCGCAGCCCTCGTCCTCGTCCTCGTCCCCCATGGCGGGCGGGTCGCTGGGGCCCGCGCTGCTCGGCTCCGGGCGGGCTCCGGGCGCCGGTTACATGGCGGCTCGGGCCGGGGCGGCGCTTCCTGGTGCCGCCTCCGGGTCGGGTCGGGCGCCGGCGCCCCTCCCAGCTCCCGCCCAGCGCGGCCTGACTCAGGCGCCGAACGTGGAGGCGCGGCTGCGAGGGGGCGGCGCCGGGCGGCGGGGCGGCGGCAGGCTGTGCGCTCCCGGCCGCACGCGACCCTGCAGGGACCGGGGACCACGGCTGGGGCGCCGGCCCGGTCCGAGGGTGACCTGGGGCCGCAGCTGGGCAGGCCTCCGGCCGGGTGTCTGCGCCGGGCGTCGGGGGCCGGAGAGGCCAGTGGTGCTGCCGCCGAGCCTGTGCCCCGAGGGGGGCCCTCCGGGAACCTCAGAGCCCGCCCCTGGGCGCCAGCGGGCAGCCCAGCACGCCCATTCCCGGCCCCCGGGGAAAATGAGGGACTCCAGCCCCAGCTCGCTGCTTGATCAGTCCCTGAAGGCTGCAGACCGGGGCGGGGTCTGCAGGTCCCCCTGACAGAGGAGCCAGCGGCCTGAGCCACAGGCTGCCCTGGCCCCGCGCTGTCAGCACAGCACCCAGCACCCAGCACCCAGCACCCCTCACTCAGTGCGGCCACCACTCGGTGCTGGGCGGCTGAGAGGGTGTTTGAGTCCCGGAAGCGGCACAGCCCCCTGAGACCCTCTCCCCTGGGAACTTGCCTTTGGGGCGAGGGGAGAAGGGTGGTGTCTAGGAGCTCAGGTGCCCTGAGAACCATAGCGGGGTCTCTGGGCTCCCCCTTCCCCGGGAGCACCTACAGGGGTGCTGAGAGGGCAGGAGCCAGGGCCCACCATGGCAGGGAGAGGTGAAGGAATCTACAGCTGGTCTGTAAAGCCCGCCCAGTGCCACATGCCCACGTGGTCCTGTCCCCAAGCCTGGCCGTGCCCAGCAGAGCTTAGAGTAGGCCTCAAAGAGGGGTGTCAGCACTGGCCGGGTAGCTCAGTTGGTTAGAGCATCATCCTGATACACCAAGGTTGTGGGTTCGATCCCCGGTCAGGGCACATACAGCCAATGAATGCATATACAAGTGGCACAACAGTCGATGTTTCTTCTCTCTCAAATCAATAAATGTTTTTAAAATATATGTTATTGATTTTTCACAGAGAGGAAGGGAGAAGGATAGAGAATTAGAAACATCGATGAGAGAGAAACATCGACCAGCTGCCTCCTGCACACTCCCCACTGGGGACGTGGCCGCAACCAAGGTACATGCCCTTGACCGGAATCGAACCTGGGACCCTTGAGTCCGCAGGCTGACACTCTATCCAGAGCCAAACTGGTCAGGGCTCAAATCAGTAAATTTTTTTTCATTTTTATTTTTTTAAAGGGGTGTTAGAGCCACACAGGGGTGGCCTCCCCTCACCACCAGGCCCAGAGCCCTGGCCAGCTGTCCTCCAGAGCCTCTTGGCTTCCGGATAACTGACAGGAGCCACCTACAGGGCGGGCAGCCATCAAACTCCTTCCTTGACGCTTATGGGAGGGGCTTCCAGCCTCCAGCTTCCAGCCAGCGGCCAGGGGTCCACTCCCTCCATCAGCCTCTGCAACTGGAGCTAAGAGGGAGCAGGTAGGTTATGCCCAAGGGGCTCAGGTCACCCTGAGGAGGGGGCTGCCCCTCCCAGCTCTGCCTCCCCCACCCCGCTTTAAGGCTGCCTCACCTCAGTCTGGGCAGCCCCGCCCTACCCTGGGCAGCCCCAGGTGCTTGACTCACGTCCTGCCACCAGCCTAATTGCCCCCTTCCTGGATGTCATCCCAGATGCCTGTGTACCTCCACCACAGCCCAGCACTAGGTGAAACTCCAGGCTGGGAGCTCCCTGGGGAGGGGCTCAACCCCAAGTGGGGGGCAGTAGGGGGAGACAGGAAAAAGTGAAAGGAGAGAAGAGGATGCTAGGGAGGGGAGGGCAGGTCCTCTGGCGTTTACCACCCCCACCCCAGAGCCCACTCCCCACCTTTTAAGCAAAGGCTGAGCCCAGACCCGGGCCCCACCCACTGCAGGCTACCCAGACCCCGACCCCTCCCCACCCCCTTGGGGTACCCATGCAAGCCCAACTGGCCCCTCCTCTGAGGAAAGCCCTTTGCTTGGGTGCCAGGCGAGGAAGCCAGTGGCCACAGCCCCCACCAGCGAGGACTTGGGGCTGCAGGGCTCCGGCACCTCAGGATGCAGCCAGTGGACACAGCAGACTCGGGTGATTGCACTCCGGCTTTATTTCATGTCCCAGCCGCGCTCAGAGATAGGTCCAGGCCATGGGCGCCAGGGAGCAGTTCTTGGCGTCGCCCCTAGACCAGGTAGGGGGCTCTCTTGTCCACTCCTGCCTGCCTCCTTCATCTGGAAGGTCCCCCAGAAACCTCCTCCTCAGCGAGGGCCGCCTGGCAGAGCCAGAGCCCTGGCAAGGAGCTGCTAGTGGGGGCCCGCTATGCCCCCTGCAAACAGGCCTATCCCAGCTCCATCTCAGGGCCCCAGTGCCGGCCATGGAGGCCCCAAGGGCCCAGGCCTCCTTGTCCAAGGACTGGCCCCAGACGCCCCGGCTCCCCGCATTCGCATTCGTGGGCTGTCTGGGACCCCCACTGGGACTCCAGCGGCGAAAGGCCCACATTCCCAAGCTTCCAGTCCATGTGGTGTCACTGGCTGAGGGAAGGGGTGAGAGGGTGTTTCTCCGGTTCCTGCACCTCGAGGCCTGGAGGGAAAGGCTCAGCTCAGGCCCACGCCCTCGGAGGCTCCCGGCACGGACCTGGCCCACAGGCCCTCCACCCTCTGCCACCGCCCAGCCCTCCACCTTTCCCTCGGCTCTCCCCCTTCCTCCCAGCTGCACCAGCCACCTGGCCGAGCCGCCATCCCTCTGCCTGGAATACTGTTCCCCACAGATATCAACCCCACCAACTCTCACCTCCCAGTCTTTGCTCTGACTTCACCTCCCTTCCGCGGCTACCTCGAGCACCCTAATTAACTGCACCCCACCCAGTGCTCTGACCTCCTTTTTCCCAGAGCATTGCCACTTCCTAATATGCCAGGAGGCCTGAGAGTAAAATACCAATGGACTTCAAAGACTCGTATGAAAAAAATAATATAAAATATCTCGTTAACCATCTTTTACACTGACTACATGTTAAAATGGTAATACTTCAGGCCTATGGAGTTAAATAAAATGCTATTAGGTTTGCCTGTCTCTTTTTGCTTTTTCTGATGAGGCTACCAGAAGGTTTGAAATTACATGCAGCTCACCTCTTATTTCTATGGGGCTGTTGTATAACTGCTATTTCCATGCACATTGCTTACTGTCTGCCTCCTACCCCAGAACGTGCCCGCTGCCCCCGCTAGAACAGCCCCTGGCACTGAAGGCTGGTTGTCCAGTGAGGCGGGGGGGGGGGGGGGGGAGGTTGAATGAGCGCTGCCAGGGCCACGCACAGGGCAAATGCCCCCTCACCCTCTCGGCCGGCACCTGCTTCGTGTTCTGCCAGGGTCTCAGTGGAGCCATCCCATCCCATGCCAGGTCCTGGGGGGACACAAGGCAGCTACTGGGCCACAGGGACCAGGACAGAGGCAGGCAGGGCTTGTGGGGAGACACAGGGGACAGGAAGGAACCCCTCCCCCAAGGAGTCGCTGGGTCCACAGGGAGTCAGGGGCTAATGGAAGCAGGGACCCTTGTACCCTCACCTTTGCCCTGGGAGCTGGGTGCCTCCATGGGGCCCGGACGGCGTTGTCGGAATCGCTGCCTGGGGGTGTCCCCGGGGCTGAATGACTCCGAGCTTCGCCCCACGGGGAATCTGGAGCTGAGTTTCCGCCGCTGCCGGCCCGCCAGAGTTTCATCCCGCAGGCACACGGAGCTCTGGGCCCGGCGCATGGGTGCCGGGGAAGGGGACCCTGCAAGAGGCAGGGGCACGGGTATGAGAGCCGTGCAGGGAGAGGCGGGCAGAGTGAGGGGCATCGGGCAGAGTGAGGGGCAGCGGGGTGGAGCTGCACAGGGCCAGGGAGAGGAGGCTGCAGAGGCGGGAGAGGGTCTGGGTGCTGACAGGCGGCTGGCCCCTGCTGGCTCTGACACTAACTCACTCGGTGCCCCTGAGCAAGGCGCTTCCCCTCCCTGGGCCTCGGTCTCCTCGCCTGCTGACTGGAATAAATGACCTCTCACTACAGCCCCTGCGGCTCCGAGGTCCTAGGCACCGCGGCGGGTGGGTAGGCCTGGTGGGTGGCAGCGCAGGCAGAAGGAGGTGGCAGACGAGAGATGCAGCTGGGACGCGGAGCGAAGCACCACCGGGACCGTCTGAGGGGCGGGGGCAACAGGGAAGGCTATCGGGGCACGTGTACCAGCCACACAGGAAGGAAGAGACCGGAGGCGTGAGCGGGTGCCAGGGTGGGGATCAAGGACACGGGGTAGGGACCATCGGTCACCTGGCCCCCAGACCCACCTGTCCCATCTGCCTCCCTGCTCTCAGAGAGCTCCATCTCTGGGGGGCCCCCCAGGCTCTCGGTGCTGCCAGCCCCACTGGCCCACAGGCGTGGCCCCCCATGGAGGGCCCCCTCCCGCCGGGGCCGCATCAGCCTCTTCACCTTGTCTGCCAGCCAGCTGCCCTTCCTGGGAGCAAGAGGGCACAAGAGGGAGTAAGGCCATGGCGGAAGGAGACAAGAGGGCCAGGCCGGGGAGCGAGGCCAGGCAAACCCTCACAGGCCCGGACCTGAGCTGGGCCAAGGTCAGAGGGCGGCAGGGCCAGGCTGGGAGGACCCCTGACTAGGGGTGAGGGGTCACTCACTTGGTCCGGGGCAGGGGCCCCGGCTCCAACACACGGTACTGGTCCATGATCTTCTCCACCAGCTTCTGCTTCTCTCGGCGCAAGGCGTTGAGCTGGTCCCTGGGAGAGGGGCGGGGGAGCAGCATGAGGCCTGGCAGGAGCAAGGCTCGGGGTCCAGCCGGCACAGCCCTGCAGCTGGCACACGGACACACGCCTGTGTGGGGTGAAACTGCCACCGCACCACCCCCGGGGGTCAGCCCAGGACCCCCCTGGGCGTCTCCCCCGAACAACCACAGGTGTCTCCAGGAC